GCAGAACTCAGAACAACTTGGTTTTGCACTGTTGCATGCCTACCAGGTGGCTAAAGTAATGTAAAGTCATGTAAAGTCAACCCACCGCATGGGCACACCCATTCATGGTTGCTTCTCAAATACTGCGCCTGCCGCCTGCCACGTTCAAGCTGGCCATAGTTGCTTCTCAAATACTGCCCCTGCCACCTGCCACGTTCAAGATGGCCATAGTTGCTTCTCAAATACTGCCCCTGCCACCTGGCACGTTCAAGATGGCCATAGTTGCTTCTCAAATACTGCCCCTGCCACCTGCCACCTTCAAGCTGGCCATAATTGTTTCTCAAATAGTGCGCCTTGCCAGTTGCAACGTTCAAGCTGCCCATAGTTACTTCTCAAATACTGCCCCTGCCAGTTGCCACGTTCAAGAGGGCCATAGTTGTTTCTCAAATACTGCCCCTGCCAGTTGCCACGTTCAAGATGGCCATAGTTGCTTCTCAAGTACTGCGCCTGCCAGTTGCCACGTTCAAGATGGCCATAGTTGCTTCTCAAATACTGCCCCTGCCAGTTGCCACGTTCAAGCTGGCCATAGTTGCTTCTCAAATACTGCGCCTGCCAGTTGCCACGTTCAAGATGGCCATAGTTGTTTCTCAAACACTGCCCGTGCCAGCTGCCACGTTCAAGATGGACATAGTTGTTTCATAAGTACTGCGCCTGCCCACAATTTTTCTCATAAGATGGCATTTTTTATCTTACATTGTTTGGGTTCGATTTTTTTGCCACAGACATTTTTATAAGGTGCCATTTTTTTTCAACTGTTTTGCTCCGATTTTTTTGGCAACAGTCATTTTTATAAGGCGCATTTTTTATCCTACGCTGTTTGGTTCAGATTTCTTTGGCCACAGTCATTTTTATAAGGTGCCATTTTTTTCAACTGTTTGGCTCCGTTTTTTTGGCAACAGTCATTTTATAAATTGCATTGTCTTATCTTGCACTGTGGCTCAATTTTTTTCGCCACAGTCATTTTTATAGGGTGCCATTTTTTTGTTTTCAACTGTCTGGTTCCGATTTTTTTGGTCACTGTCATTTTTATAAGGCGTTTTTTTTTTCCTACGCTGTTTGGTTCAGATTTTTTGGGCCACAGTCATTTTTGTAAGGTGCCATTTTTTTTCAACTGTTTTGCTCCGATTTTTTTGGCAACAGTCATTTTTATAAGGCGCATTTTTTATCCTACGCTGTTTGGTTCAGATTTCTTGGGCCACAGTCATTTTTATAAGGTGCCATTTTTTTCAACTGTTTGGCTCCGTTTTTTGGCAACAGTCATTTTATAAATTGCATTGTCTTATCTTGCACTGTGGCTCAATTTTTTTTCGCCGCAGTCATTTTTATAGGGTGCCATTTTTTTGTTTTCAACTGTCTGGTTCCGATTTTTTTGGTCACTGTCATTTTTATAAGGCGTTTTTTTTTTCCTACGCTGTTTGGTTCAGATTTTTTGGGCCACAGTCATTTTTGTAAGGTGCCATTTTTTGCAACTGTTTGGCTCCGTTTTTTTGGCAACAGTCATTTTATAGATTGCATTTTCTTACCTTGCACTGTGGCTCATTTTTTTCTCGCCACAGTAATTTTTATAGGGTGCCATTTTTTATCTTCAACTGTTTGGCTCCGATTTTTTTGGCCACTGTCATTTTTATATAAGGCGCATTTTTTACCTTACACTGTTTGGTTCAATTTGTTTTCGCCACTGTGGTTTTTATAACGTGCCATATTTTTTTTCAACTGTTTTGCTCCCATTTTTTGCCAGCAGTTTTTTTTTTTAATTGCCATTTTTTTTCATCTTACACTGTTAGGCTCAGATTTTTTTCGCCACAATCATTTCTATAAGGTGCCATTTTTTATCTTCAACTGTTGGCTCCGATTTTTTGGCCACGGTCATTTTTATAAGCCGCAGTTTTTGATCTTACACTGTTTGTCTCAGGTTTTTTTGGGCACAAACATTTTTGTAAGGTGCCATTTTTTGCAACTGTTTGGCTCCGGTTTTTTAGCAACAGTGATTCTTTAAATTGCATTTTTTTATCTTGCACTGTGTGGCTCATTTATTTTCGCCACAGTCATTTTTATAAGGTGCCATTTTTTATCTTCAACTGTTTGGCTCCGATTTTTTTGGTCACTGTCATTTTTATATAAGGCGCATTTTTTACCTTACACTGTTTGGTTCAATTTGTTTTCGCCACTGTGGTTTTTATAACGTGCCATATTTTTTTTCAACTGTTTTGCTATCATTTTTTGCCAGCAGATTTTTTATAAATTGCCATTTTTTATCTTACACTGTTAGGCTCAGATTTTTTTCGCCACAGTCATTTCTATAAGGTGCCATTTTTTATCTTCAACTGTTTGGTTCCGATTTTTTGGCCACGGTCATTTTTATAAGGCGCAGTTTCTGATCTTACACTGTTTGTCTCAGATTTTTTTGGGCACAAACATTTTTGTAGGGTGCTAAATTTTGTCTTCAACTGTTTGGTTCCCATTTTTTGGCCACTGTTGTTTTTATAAGGTGCATTTTTTTATCCTACGCTGTTTGGCTCAGATCGTTTTGGCGCCGCCCAAACTCAAGATGAGATAAGGTGCCTCTAAAATGCTGCGCGTGCCACTGCCTTCTCAAATACTCCGCGCCTGCCACTGCACAAATTTAAGTTTCCATAGATAGTTACCCGGGCGCGTCCTTACGCTACACAATGAAAAAAAATAAAGAATTGTATCCATTGTTTTGATTTACTATTTTCACAATTGTGTAGTGTAAGGGTTGCACTTACCGGATCTGCTTTAAGGTGCAGTTACAAAAAAATTTGCCTCAAAAAAAAGGAGGCTAAAGTTGAATTCGCCAAAGTCTGGTACACTCTCTAAGGCATCTTGGAGTTAAAATTCGCCTCAATCGCGTCATTGTGGCCAAAGCCAAAAATGCACTTAGAAATATGGAATTCACGTGGCTAAAAACTTGCGCCGCCAGAAAATACAGTTTCTTCCGTGCGCATTTTTGGTCTCCAGGCACGGCATGTTCAAAATACACCTGTCCCAATGTGTATTTTTGGTGTTTTGACGTTGTGTATTTTTTGCATATGTTTGGTGCATTTGCGATGCGATTTTTGCTAAAAAATGTATTTTTTTACGCGTTTGGCACCTGTGTCTCGCCCAGGCGTATTTTTTTTACGCATTGGGCACCTGCGTCTTGTGCAGGTGTATTTATTTTACGCGTGTGTGGAAATCGGACTTGCACGTGCTAGTTGTGTAAGTAGATTCCCTCCCTAAACCCTCCCAGGAAAAACACGGAAACCTACGTTCGCGTAAATTTTTCTACAAATTTAGTCCAAACTTCGCCAAGTATGTGTATTCATCTACTTAGCGTGAGGCTATCGCCACGGTATACATATAACCAATATACAGAAAAACACGCAATATATATATATATACAACATGCAACTGCGGCAACTGACATCACAAGCACAGCAAATGTGGATGAGTTTCAAAAAAAGTGTTCCAACCCTATTTGTTTGATCCACTCAAATGGTTTCGATAGAAGATAAATTCATCATGGACTAAAAATCTAAAACTGTGCATCCAAAAGAGTTGACAGTTCTTGTGTATATGTCAACATCGTGGTGCTGTATCATACAGTGGGTTGCGCAAAGAACTCTAGAGATTAAAATGTGTTCTTTGTTCTCTGAAATGACAAGGCGGAAATAAGAACGTTATTTCCGCATTGTTTAGAACAGTCACTTCGAAGAGTTCGAGCATGACCGGAAACAAACCTTAGGTGAGTTTCTCCTTTGTTTGGTGCTTCAAACCAACATTGAAGAGAACCAGCGTGACATGAAGTCATGCGAAGTGCGTGCTGGGGAAACATTGTTGTGTGGAGCTTACTGGGACCGCTGGCGACTGAGCGTACTGAGTGATTGAGACGCGCCAACTCTGAGTTTTCTCACATGGCAAGTGAAGCTCTTAAAGCGACCACGTGTTTAACACGTTTCATCAATTTCTGTGAGACCTTCCAAGAGCTCTGTTGCAATCCAACCTTCAAGGACGACCAGCGTGACGTGAAGTCATGCAAAGCATAGCTTCAGAGCCACCAGTCTGTGCGAATGTTGGGAAACACAAATGTCTGGTAGAGAAAGTGCTTGAAAGAATAAACGTGGCTCTCTACAGGCCTGACAGCAACTAGTGAAACTTGAGGCATCTCATTTCTGGCTACTCAACGGCCTGCGCAGAAGCCAAGGCATGTGCCACGACAGCTTCAGCTTCAAAGAGCAGCTGCCTCCTATAGCCACAGTTGCAGCATAGCTGGATGATTTCGGAATGTCCATTGCTCAGCAAATTCATTGAGTTGGAGCCTCGCAAGCCACTGCGCCAACTTTCTTGCAGCCTGAACAGAATGCATCGACCCTTGCGGCTTCACAGTGCAGTCTACGGTTTGAAGCTATCTACAAATGTTCTTGCGGCATGAATTGCCTACATACTTCATGCATGTCAAAGAATAAACGTGGCTCTCTACAGGCCTGACAGCAACTAGTGAAACTTGAGGCGTCTCATTTCTGGCTACCCAACGGCCTGCGCAGAAGCCAAGGCATGTGCCAAGACAGCTTCAGCTTCAAAGAGCAGCTGCCTCCTATAGCCACAGTTGCAGCATAGCTGGATGATTTCGGAATGTCCATTGCTCAGCAAATTCATTGAGTTGGAGCCTCGCAAGCCACTGCGCCAACTTTCTTGCAGCCTGAACAGAATGCATCGACCCTTGCGGCTTCCCAGTGCAGTCTACGGTTTGAAGCTATCTACAAATGCTCTTGCGGCATGAGTTGCCTGCATACTTCATGCATGTCCATTCGACAATATGCAATATATCATATAATATCACTTAATCGTTATGTCTACAATTTTCTATGGCATATGTCATGTGTTTGTACATAATACCCGTAAAAGGTCGCCACTTGAGATGTGCCAACTGCAGGCACCTGGACAGCTTTTGTTGTTTTCACTCACTCAGTGCGCTCGGCCGTCATCGATCCGAGCAAGTTCTGCAAGTCCGACACCGAAAGTTGACGAGCTGCCTGAAGGAGGGATCAAGGGTATAGAGTGCTGGGGATATCTTATCAACATCTCAATATATGGTCAATATTTTTGGCTATATCTCAGAAAGCAAATACATGGTGCCTTCAACAGGCAAGAACAAAACCAGACTGCGCCTTGACCAACTTGGCCTTTCGCTTCTGCGCGGCCTTCATGTGTGCTTTGTTAGCTTTGAAGGCCTGACACACGCCAAGCAGGGAAAGGTTGCAGACTGGAAGCACCAAACACCCATTCAACCCAAACACGAAGCTACCTCGCGCAGCTCTTGTCGTCGCTGCTTGAGCTCGGCAAGCTCAGCCTGCAGCACCTGCCCACACTTGCAATCACAGGCCATCACCGATCAATGATGGATAGCGCCGCTTGGACACAGAATATGCTTAAAGAATCCTAAAACAATGCACTCGCTGGCTCCCAAAAACTGGTTCCAAAATGACATTGAAATTCAGATACGTCATGTATCTCCCCCCAGTATGCATTCCCAGCTGTTGCATCTTTTCACCTGATCAAGGCAGAGCTACTGCTACCATCAGTTCAAGGTTCGGATGTATGGAATTAAGCTGTCATCACCAGCGCACTCTTTCACCCATGCTTCAATGTTGCCACTTCCAGCACCGCGGCTTGGGAAGATACACGATGCTTGCCCCACACTAGGGCGCCCAGCTGGAATCTTTGGACACTCATCCCATTGCAAGGCTTTCAATGCATGCGACGATATGCAATTCTGCTGCTTGGTCACTCCAGTTCCTTCAAAAGCCCGCTGCCAATCTCGATGCGAAAGCACTGTCTCCACTGCAGTGGCCATCACACGTAGCCATGCTTCTCGGGAAACAACACCTTCAGCAGCTTCGCTCTTTGTCTGCGTCCACTGCCGCCGGATCTCACAGCGTAGGGTGCGAAAAATATATGCATCAAGCGGTTGAAGTGTACCGGTAGCACCAGCCGGCACCACTAGGACCTGCAACCCCAATGTTTTGGCCAATGACCTCACAGTAGAATGGAGGTGGCATGCAGCACAGTCGAAGAGGAGCGTCAAAGGCTTTTCAGGGCAGTAAGATTGCCAATTTTCATGTAGAAGACGCAAATAGGAACACATGAATGCAGCAGTATTCCATGCGGTGGCACCACGCCAAATTTTCAATCGATCCGTGATTGCCGGATCCAAGGACTTCATAAATTTGATGGGAAACTGGGTCTTGTTGGCAATGATAACCTGCGGCAAGATTGCGTTGAAACCGAAGTCTGTAGACACTGATGCTAAGAGCGTCATCCGGGACCTCTGGGTACTCAAAGATGCTCGCACTGCACCACGTACAGACCGCAAAACAGTACCTCGGCACCCTTCCACGTGCACAGCCAAAGAACATTCATCCATGTTGACCAAAATATTGTCTGGCGGGATGCAGTTGGCCCACCGGTAAAAAGAATAGGCCTGGCTTGCAAGCTCCAAAACAAAAATTGCTTCAAAAGCAGGCCCCAAAAAAGGGGTGCCAAAAATGAACCCTAAAAAGGGGGCCACCCTATTTACCTGAGCCATGGGGACCTGAAATTGGGGTTCCAGAACTGCTTTCAAAATTGGGTACCAAACCGACCCAACCCGACCAAGTCCACGCCTTCTCCTGCAACACATGGATTGGCAAAGAAGCTGTGACAGGTAAGGTGCCTATGCGCCCGTTCCAAGCTTTCCGAAAACGTCTCAAATATGCCCGTTGGGATGGAGGGCCACCATAGAAAGGCAAACACAGGCGGTTCTCTACAGCCTCTGGAAGGCCGTCCGGAACAAAGAGCAAAGCCTGTCTTACTAACTGCTGCCTTGTGGGGGCCACTCCATACTCGACATTTTGAGACCTGACCCAATCATGAAGCAGGTATTGTATAATGAAATCACAAGCCCGGTACAGCTCCGATGCAGGTGGGTCTGTGCTCAACCGAGCCATCAACGCTGCCGAAGTAGCGGCAAACAAAGCATCGAAGGCATCCTTCGCCGACACGGCCACCTGCACAATCACCAGAGGAGCAGCGCGAGCGAGGTAGGTAGCCGCGGCGTCCAAAGCATGATGCGACGTCTTTGCTTGGCTCCAAAGGTAGACCAGGAGCGCCTGTCTCACGCATGAAGCAGAGAGGCCGCTCCATGAGCCTTGCGACTCATCCAGCTGTCTTCTCAAACTTCTCCTCACGGAGCGGATCCTGCGGCTCAAGCCCGCCAACTCAATTGAGCTCATGGCTGCACATACATGGCATCACATCTCAAAGTACTGCCCGCAGGTAGAATGCTATCATGTCAAGGTCACTTGCTGCCACTTTGAAAATTAGTTGTCAGTTCAAGACAGCAAGCTCTGGGGTCCCCATCCGTTAGTAAACTTTTTGGACTTGTGGAAATCAACGTTAACTTTGAAGCACTTGCTTGATGCGTTCGGTCAAAGCAGCGGTGCACACAGGAGCTGCGTTCTAGGTTCCCAAGTACAGCATGGGATGCTTTCTGGTTGCAACATAAAGCGTGGGCAAATCCAAGTGGAGGAAAAAAATAATATATATATATACAAACATTCTTTACGCAATTTTTTGCACACTGTATGCATTCCCAGCTGTTGCATCTTTTCACCTGATCAAGGCAGAGCTACTGCTACCATCAGTTCAAGGTTCGGATGTATGGAATTAAGCTGTCATCACCAGCGCACTCTTTCACCCATGCTTCAATGTTGCCACTTCCAGCACCGCGGCTTGGGAAGATACACGATGCTTGCCCCACACTAGGGCGCCCAGCTGGAATCTTTGGACACTCATCCCATTGCAAGGCTTTCAATGCATGCGACGATATGCAATTCTGCTGCTTGGTCACTCCAGTTCCTTCAAAAGCCCGCTGCCAATCTCGATGCGAAAGCACTGTCTCCACTGCAGTGGCCATCACACGTAGCCATGCTTCTCGGGAAACAACACCTTCAGCAGCTTCGCTCTTTGTCTGCGTCCACTGCCGCCGGATCTCACAGCGTAGGGTGCGAAAAATATATGCATCAAGCGGTTGAAGTGTACCGGTAGCACCAGCCGGCACCACTAGGACCTGCAACCCCAATGTTTTGGCCAATGACCTCACAGTAGAATGGAGGTGGCATGCAGCACAGTCGAAGAGGAGCGTCAAAGGCTTTTCAGGGCAGTAAGATTGCCAATTTTCATGTAGAAGACGCAAATAGGAACACATGAATGCAGCAGTATTCCATGCGGTGGCACCACGCCAAATTTTCAATCGATCCGTGATTGCCGGATCCAAGGACTTCATAAATTTGATGGGAAACTGGGTCTTGTTGGCAATGATAACCTGCGGCAAGATTGCGTTGAAACCGAAGTCTGTAGACACTGATGCTAAGAGCGTCATCCGGGACCTCTGGGTACTCAAAGATGCTCGCACTGCACCACGTACAGACCGCAAAACAGTACCTCGGCACCCTTCCACGTGCACAGCCAAAGAACATTCATCCATGTTGACCAAAATATTGTCTGGCGGGATGCAGTTGGCCCACCGGTAAAAAGAATAGGCCTGGCTTGCAAGCTCCAAAACAAAAATTGCTTCAAAAGCAGGCCCCAAAAAAGGGGTGCCAAAAATGAACCCTAAAAAGGGGGCCACCCTATTTACCTGAGCCATGGGGACCTGAAATTGGGGTTCCAGAACTGCTTTCAAAATTGGGTACCAAACCGACCCAACCCGACCAAGTCCACGCCTTCTCCTGCAACACATGGATTGGCAAAGAAGCTGTGACAGGTAAGGTGCCTATGCGCCCGTTCCAAGCTTTCCGAAAACGTCTCAAATATGCCCGTTGGGATGGAGGGCCACCATAGAAAGGCAAACACAGGCGGTTCTCTACAGCCTCTGGAAGGCCGTCCGGAACAAAGAGCAAAGCCTGTCTTACTAACTGCTGCCTTGTGGGGGCCACTCCATACTCGACATTTTGAGACCTGACCCAATCATGAAGCAGGTATTGTATAATGAAATCACAAGCCCGGTACAGCTCCGATGCAGGTGGGTCTGTGCTCAACCGAGCCATCAACGCTGCCGAAGTAGCGGCAAACAAAGCATCGAAGGCATCCTTCGCCGACACGGCCACCTGCACAATCACCAGAGGAGCAGCGCGAGCGAGGTAGGTAGCCGCGGCGTCCAAAGCATGATGCGACGTCTTTGCTTGGCTCAAAAGGTAGACCAGGAGCGCCTGTCTCACGCATGAAGCAGAGAGGCCGCTCCATGAGCCTTGCGACTCATCCAGCTGTCTTCTCAAACTTCTCCTCACGGAGCGGATCCTGCGGCTCAAGCCCGCCAACTCAATTGAGCTCATGGCTGCACATACATGGCATCACATCTCAAAGTACTGCCCGCAGGTAGAATGCTATCATGTCAAGGTCACTTGCTGCCACTTTGAAAATTAGTTGTCAGTTCAAGACAGCAAGCTCTGGGGTCCCCATCCGTTAGTAAACTTTTTGGACTTGTGGAAATCAACGTTAACTTTGAAGCACTTGCTTGATGCGTTCGGTCAAAGCAGCGGTGCACACAGGAGCTGCGTTCTAGGTTCCCAAGTACAGCATGGGATGCTTTCTGGTTGCAACATAAAGCGTGGGCAAATCCAAGTGGAGGAAAAAAGAGGTATATATATATATATACAAACATTCTTTACGCAATTTTTTGCACACTGTATGCATTCCCAGCTGTTGCATCTTTTCACCTGATCAAGGCAGAGCTACTGCTACCATCAGTTCAAGGTTCGGATGTATGGAATTAAGCTGTCATCACCAGCGCACTCTTTCACCCATGCTTCAATGTTGCCACTTCCAGCACCGCGGCTTGGGAAGATACACGATGCTTGCCCCACACTAGGGCGCCCAGCTGGAATCTTTGGACACTCATCCCATTGCAAGGCTTTCAATGCATGCGACGATATGCAATTCTGCTGCTTGGTCACTCCAGTTCCTTCAAAAGCCCGCTGCCAATCTCGATGCGAAAGCACTGTCTCCACTGCAGTGGCCATCACACGTAGCCATGCTTCTCGGGAAACAACACCTTCAGCAGCTTCGCTCTTTGTCTGCGTCCACTGCCGCCGGATCTCACAGCGTAGGGTGCGAAAAATATATGCATCAAGCGGTTGAAGTGTACCGGTAGCACCAGCCGGTACCACTAGGACCTGCAACCCCAATGTTTTGGCCAATGACCTCACAGTAGAATGGAGGTGGCATGCAGCACAGTCGAAGAGGAGCGGCAAAGGCTTTTCAGGGCAGTAAGATTGCCAATTTTCATGTAGAAGACGCAAATAGGAACACATGAATGCAGCAGTATTCCATGCGGTGGCACCACGCCAAATTTTCAATCGATCCGTGATTGCCGGATCCAAGGACTTCATAAATTTGATGGGAAACTGGGTCTTGTTGGCAATGATAACCTGCGGCAAGATTGCGTTGAAACCGAAGTCTGTAGACACTGATGCTAAGAGCGTCATCCGGGACCTCTGGGTACTCAAAGATGCTCGCACTGCACCACGTACAGACCGCAAAACAGTCTCGGCACCCTTCCACGTGCACAGCCAAAGAACATTCATCCATGTTGACCAAAATATTGTCTGGCGGGATGCAGTTGGCCCACCGGTAAAAAGAATAGGCCTGGCTTGCAAGCTCCAAAACAAAAATTGCTTCAAAAGCAGGCCCCAAAAAAGGGGTGCCAAAAATGAACCCTAAAAAGGGGGCCACCCTATTTACCTGAGCCATGGGGACCTGAAATTGGGGTTCCAGAACTGCTTTCAAAATTGGGTACCAAACCGACCCAACCCGACCAAGTCCACGCCTTCTCCTGCAACACATGGATTGGCAAAGAAGCTGTGACAGGTAAGGTGCCTATGCGCCCGTTCCAAGCTTTCCAAAAACGTCTCAAATATGTCCGTTGGGATGGAAGGCCACCAGAGAAAGGCAAACACAGGCGGTTCTCTACAGCCCCTGGAAGGCCGTCCGGAACAAAGAGCAAAGCCTGTCTTACTAACTGCTGCCTTGTGGGGGCCACTCCATACTCGACATTTTGAGACCTGACCCAATCATGAAGCAGGTATTGTATAATGAAATCACAAGCCCGGTACAGCTCCGATGCAGGTGGGTCTGTGCTCAACCGAGCCATCAACGCTGCCGAAGTAGCGGCAAACAAAGCATCAAAGGCATCCTTCGCCGACACGGCCACCTGCACAATCACCAGAGGAGCAGCGCGAGCGAGGTAGGTAGCCGCGGCGTCCAAAGCATGATGCGACGTCTTTGCTTGGCTCCAAAGGTAGACCAGGAGCGCCTGTCTCACGCATGAAGCAGAGAGGCCGCTCCATGAGCCTTGCGA